AGACGTCTCTGAAATTTTAATTAAGAAAAAAATCAAAACAAATCATAATGGCATTTCAATTTATTTACCACTTTTGACTTTTCCAAACATCGTCTAATTTGCGTTTATAAGCATTGCATTACGTGGGAAACACACTAACCTAAATACTTACTATATTTTAAAATCTTATTCATTTATATTTTTACGATCCTTGATGTGTGCCATTTTATATTTTAGAATCAATCCATATATTTTAGGATATTTCTTTTACATTAAGATATTTCTTTTCCTTCCATCCCTAAACAGTTAAAACCATTAGCCAACCTATATAAACATCACCTGAAACCTTATATTCTTTGATATCATTTGTTTTAATTTTCCATGGCCTACGTCTAAGCTAATTTAACTTTAAAATTTTGTTTTAACAGTGACGCCTTATACCAACTGTCCCTTCTTATATCTTGACCCTTCCAACTCTGCCTTCCATACTTCTCTCGTCTCTTGATCATTTTCCATTGGCCTTCTATGCCTTCGTTCTAACCACCCCTCGTCCATCGCAGAGTTCCTGTTTGCCGACTTTTTTTTTTTATTGATTTGTCCCAGTGGACTACTCCTTCCTCGCCATCCCATCCTGATGGTGTGTTCAGGAAAATCCATGGCTTATTATTTTTTTATTTACACCCAGGTCACCATCCCAGCATTCTTTATTTCATTCTTTTTTCCTCAAACCTGGGTTCAATCAATCAATGGCAACAGTCGAGCCCTGTTTTCACAATTTACCTCCACCCTCTAACCTCTTCAACGGTTCCTGAGACTCCTACTCGTCAACCTTTTTTAATTTTTATTTTTTAATGATTCATCGACCTGGTACACTCTTCCTCCCCATGTTAACTCCACACGGAGAGCTTGGGTAACCAGCGAGATTTTTTTTTCTCTAACGCTCGACCCAGGCCATCATTAGCACGATGCGCCCACTCATTTTTCGTTTAATTTTATTTTTCATCTGGTCGAGCTCAATCACCGACAGCAGCGCAGCTCTTGAGCCACCATCTCTTTTTAACCTCTCTCAGAAAAAATTTCTTTCCCATATTCTCCCATTACCTACCTCTCCTTCGATCTTCACGCCTTTTGCCCATCTGATCTAATGCTACTTACAGAGCATCTTGAGATTGCTGAACCCTGAAAACAATACTTCGCTTCTAAGCTCGTATTGCAGGGCAGGACTCCTGAGATATCCTTTGCAGAAACCAATTCAGACCTTCTTCCTTTATTCCTCACTGCGTCACTACCTATCGCAAACCTTTTGCTTAAGTCAATTTTCTTTTATATTTTATTTTACTTTTATTATCTCTACTTCTCCTCCTTCCTGTATTACATCCCTGAAACTGTGTTGTAAATACTCATGGCACCTTAAGTAACAAAAACTGTAAATAGTATACCCACTTTCCCAAATATTAACTTTCGCTATTGTGTGTGTTTACTTTAAATTTATCCTTCCTATGTACTCCTCTTATATATTTTTTTGTAGTTTTATAATATTATATCAGTGTGTCACCACTACTCCCCTTTATCTTTATTTTTATTCTAGTAACTAATTTGTGCCCCAAATTATTTCCCATTTAATAGGTTTGCTAGCTTTTCTCTCATTTATTTGTAAATAGACTTACAGTTTTACTAGTTTTGTGGTGTTGGACTTTGTTTTTTAACTTACAGATGTAGATAAAACATTTCACTATTAACCGATAATATCATTTTGTTTATTAACCATCAACATTAATGCCATCAACCACCAATCAACCCTTTATATATTATTACCTTTAATATTTTTATTTTCTTTTTTCATCAGGTTTAGACTTAGAATTTTACAACTTCAACTATTTTAGGCACCATTTTAAAAACCTACATCTAACAATATTTATAATATTTCTTAAACAGATAAAACATTTATCATTTTATTTTTCTTAATAGATTTTCAAAATGTTATTTTTGACGCTTCCCTTACAACCTCTAACTCTATCCCATGAACCTTTCCTCCCAACTTTTTACATCCATCAAGAGTTTATTGTTCGTCAGCCATTTTCTTTTTTTTTTTTTAATTGATTAAACTACTTAGAAGACCCTTCCTCGCTATATCATTCCCAATAGTGAGCTCAGGAGACTCATTTAGATTTTTCTTTCTCTCATCGTCCTGCTCATCATTTTTTCATTTTTCAACTTTTTCTTTTCACCACACAAGTCGGACACAATCAAAATTGACAGCAATAAATCTCTTACATCCACCTCCCCTTTTCCGCATCCTTCAAACCTCCAACTACCTTCCAAGGGATTCCAGTTCGCCGAACATTTTTGTTTTTTTATCATTGATTAATCCGACTGGAACAATCCTTCCTCGCTATACCATTCCCAATAGTGAGTTCAGGATATCCAGCGCGATCCTTTTATTTTTTTTTTTCTCATCGCCCGACTCATCATGTCAATTCACCATTTTTTCAAATTTTCACTTTTTTTTCATAATTCAACCGGGCACAATCATTATGGACAACGGGGATCCCTCTTACCTTTACCTCTCCCTTTTACATCCATCAATCTTCCCACCTCTTTTCACTGTTTGAGCTAATGATGCACACGGAATATCTTGGGCCTTCTGTTAATGAAAACAATGCCTCACTTAAACAAGTTCGCATTGCATTGCAGAATGCTTGGGATACTACTTTGCAGAAACATGCTCAGATACCCCCTTTCCCTTTTTCAACCTTAGCGTCACATTATTCGTTCAGTCAATAAACTAACTTCATTTTTTTCCTCTCATCTTTTATACAATAAGATATTATTTTCCTTGTTCGATTCATTTTACCATATTTACCATTTTGTATTATATACTTTCTCTTAATCTTTTATCATTCATTTTGTGCGTTTTTATTTTTATAACCTTGATTTTTATTTCATTGATACACCACCATTACAACATCTTTCTCTTTTTAACTTGTAGCTTAATAATAATTTAACTAATTTGTATACAAAAATTTTGTCTTTTATTTTTTTTTTATAATAGGTTTGTTAGGTCATCATTCATTACATGTCATTCCCCCAACCAAACCTTCATCACCGGGGGCACATTCTGTAGTATATTTTGAGTTAGATAGTTCACAACCTTCTTCTGATATATTATAACCCCATCTCTATATAAAAATATGTATCGACCTTGTAAAAATGGATGTCACAAATAAACAAAGAGGCAGGAGGTAGACCAGACGACGCCATAAACCAGACGGCGACAATGACCCGGCGCCAAGAAAGTGGCGTGATTATAGGAACCAATCAGGACTCTCCGCCACATGCGGGAGTCCAATATAAAAAGGCCCAGAAAAGAGACAAAGGTAGTTGTTTTCAGAGTGACGCCGTTATACGGTCGGTCGGATCTCTCACCCCTTCTTCTTCCGCGATGTAGGCTTAGGGAATCCGCGGCGCCCGTGGTTCGACTGCCTTCGTCCGTGGTCTACCTCTACCTCTTGGAGCTACCATCTAGACCTGCCTATGTTCCTTGCTGTCCCCGTGCGGGAATCCCATCACGCACCCACGACCACGACTGCCCAGTACATTCCACATCGGCTTGTGGTCGGGATTACTACATATATATATAAATCAATGTTTGTATGTATGTATGTATGTATGTATGTATGTTTGTTTGTTTGTTTGAATGTTTGTTTGTTTGTATGTCCGGTATACAAATTCGCAGTAGTTCACTAATTCAAACCAAAATTTCTATACATAGGTAAAAATATATATAAATCAATTATTAAAACTATATATTCAAATTATTCTACTTAGCTCACGAACAGCGCCCTCTATCAAAGATTAGATTAAATTATTCTGATGCAAACAAATAGATAATGCTAATAACACAAACAATTATAAAAAAAATATCTTATCTAAATATATATCACTCGGGTAGATATGCACACGGGTCAATCCCGGGGCGAAGCCCGGGTCACCCTTCTAGTATAATATAGAAACCTTTGTAACAATGTGGATATATACACCATAAATCGCCCAATACCATACCTAACCATGTCCCACCCTTTCCCTGCAAACTGCGACTGTGAGGCGTAGAAGGGTTCTTCAGTCTTGACACCGCCATAGTCCAGGATGGATTTCTCCTAAACTCCCCTCCCTTGCAGGAGAGGCCCGAGGCGGCTGACCATGTCACTATCTTTTGGGTTAACCAGCACTGGACCCTCCACAGGCTTACACAAAGGCCAAGGTTATATATTTAGAAAAATTAAAGAGATATTTCAATTTTTTTAAAAGGACACCGAATTGCAGAGCCAAAGTGTTCTTTAGGTAGAGGTATCTCTTACCGGAGAGTTTCTAAATGGTAAAATTGGTAATTTTGCAAATGAAAACTGTCCTTTGTTGAGAGGTGTCCGCTAAAGGGAGGTTCTACTGTACTATGATTGGAAAAAAATAAAATTGTTACAAATAACATTTGTTAGAACAATTTTCATGGGCTAGCGTTGGGAAAGGCAGGCACAAAGATGGGTATTTCGGTCTATATAAGTAAAAATCATAAAACCCCTCAAAATAACTGTCATCTTTATCTACTACTCTTCCCAATCTATGCTTTCTACCCCCCAAATAATTTCAAGTAAAATGATATTTGAAAAAAAAAAAAACCTCATTATTACAGATTGTGCTAAAAGGACACCGCCTGATAGCGCAACTGAATGTTGCTAATGGTGCGCTGCCATCTATCAAAAAGTATATCTACAATCTGTTGGTTTTTTATTTTTCACAGTTGGCCTTGAAGTAAATACTTTCTCACCCTGAACCTTTTCTTCTTCTCTCTTTTTTTTTAACTACCGCTTTATATTTGTTTAGAATCGTAGACACGGACGAAAGAATTTTAAGAAAAAGTTATTGACACCACATGAGTTAAAAAAAAGGAAAAGGTACTACTTTTATTAGAAGGTGCACAAAGATTTATAAATTTATTTGATAATATAAAAAAAAAAAAAGGTAATAGCCTACAGCACCCGGTGTTCCCAGGTGGTCACCCTCCCAAGTACTGACCGGGCCCGACATAGCTTAACTTCGGTGATCAGACGAGAACCGGTGTTTTCAATGTGGTATGGCCGTAGGCACTAGGTTGACCTAATAAGTTATATTTAAGCTTCAGGACGCATGCCATTTATATTAAAAACCTTTTGTGGGGATGTGCGAATAAAACCCTGAAAGTAAAAAAAAAAAAAATTGTAGAAAGCATTAGTCTCCAAAACTAAAACAATTTGTTTGCCCAATGTAATTTTGTCCAGGAAAGAAGAAAAAAAAGTGTTAAAATATTATTTTAGTAGAGAAAAAATAATTTCCCTATATATGTACACATTCTTCCCTCTATAATAGCCTCCTCAAGGGACAAAGCATTTTAAAGGGAGCAACTTTTTGTACCTGGATACTTTCCTCTTGTAACTTTATGATATATAGGTTTTTAACTTTTAATTAGACAATTTTAATTTTGACATTTTTCATTTCAATTTAGACACATGGCCTTATTATAGAAAAGTCAATGTGTCTAAATAAAAATGGAAAAAAATGTCTAAATATAAATTGTCAAATTAAAGTTTAAAAACCTATATATTTTGGTAAAACACTTTATTAAGGCTTATGTCTAACATGACTTTGTTATATATTTATTATTAAAAGTTTTGAAAATACAACACAGTATCAAAGACATATAGTGGAACTCCTTTATTTTTATAATGTCACTAGCCGAATGACCCGGGCAACGCCCGTGTTTTACCCGATTGAATGTTTTGATTCAAATACTATTTGTTACAATTATAAATTGGCGCCTTAAATAATTGCATATGTTAGTTAATAACTATAGTCTATGTGCTTTATCTGTCTATGTACTGTTGGCTTCCGTAGGCGTCTCTTACTGGGAAAAAGAAAGAGAGGATTCCATTTGGTTATTATCTAATATATGCATTTATTTAGGGAGCGACCCGCTCCAACACAATAGTTACAAAGACGAAATAGCGAGTGGGGGGGAAGGTGGCGTGACCGTAGCCAACCAATAGGAGGGCGCCATTCCAAAAAAAAAAAAGCAAACGGTGACAGAGATGAAAACTGACTGATTGATTAGGAGATGAGGAATGACGCTCGTAACTGTATATAGAATAGTAGGTTTGTTATACACGAAGAAAAACTTGAAATATAAGAAGTTGTGTCTACAGATTTGAAATGACTTAGCCAAAAAAAAAGTAAAGAAAATAGAAAATGAGAGATATTTACTATAGTGTAGACTAAAAGTGATGCTGCAGAGTCTCTCTTGAGAGACCCCCCTAAAACATTGCAGAACTCGTGAGAAAAAATATAATTTAATGTTCTTTTAATGTAAAATGATAATATATTTTAAAGTGTATTTATAATTGAAAAATGGTCAAGCAGTCTAGGCTTTGGGGTACAGGGTTCCTGACCAAGGGTCCACTTTCTCAAAAAGGGAGAATTACAAATCCAAAGTTTAATGGAGAGAGAGGAATTAAACTATTTACAAGCTTTACAATGGCTAGCTATGCAGTACAGTCCAATATGTAACTATGTTGTGTCTAGGAGTTCTTGGAGGTTCTATGGGTGATCATCTCCTTGAACTGGGTGAGGATCTTGTTCTCCCTCTTCTGCCGCTCCTCCTTGTTGAACATGGACAGGGCTCGCTTCTCGTCTGCGCTGTAGATCTGGTTCTCCTTCCTCAGCCGCACGGCCTCCATTCTCCGGTGACGGCTACCACTCATGACATAGCCTGAGGACTCGAAGCTGGCGATCTGATCAGAAGTGAGGCCGATCTCTCCTCTACGTGGGATCCTCTTGCCTTCTGACACATAGGCTGCCATGGCCGCGCCTTCTCCCGGCAACAGAGCGCGGCCGTACTCTCTTGGTGTGAGGTGCACCTGGGCCTTGGGAACTGGACCAATGACCATTTCCTCTTCTTCTTCTTGAGAGTGCTGATTGGTTCTCTCTACAGACCTCCTGCCACTGTGGGCAGCTGCCGTTGCATTCTTCTCAACCCACTGCACCTCTTCATCAGTTTCTGATTCGGAGGAAGAACTCCTGTGCTTCCTCTTCTTCTTTTTTTCCTTCTTCTTCTTATGTTTCTTGGATTTTTTCTTCTCCTTCTTGTGTTTCCTGGACTCTTCCTCTGGACTGTGGTATCTGGCCTTTACTGGGGACTCTTTCTGGGACTCAAACTCATCCGAGTCATAGATCTTGGAGGGTTCAGACCCCCAGACTTCAGGGACTCCTTCAGCCGCAATTTTCTCCCTCTGCCTCCTCCTCATGACCCAGAAGTCATCTGAGGTGGGTTGCTGCTGGTTGGAACGTCGGTCGTTGCCCCAGTCTGACTTGTAGTTGAACTCCTGGTAGTGTTTGGTGGGGGAGGGCCGTGTCCTACGGTGAGACGGGGAACGGGACCTTCGACGAGAGGTGGACCTGCTGCGTCTGTAGCTACGTCTCTCTGGGGAGGAATCACGCCCCATCTTAATATCTTTGTTGGTATTACTGTTGACTACCTGTTGACGTGAAAAGGAAGAAAATAGTTTCTCTATGATAACACACTCAAATAATAAACATTATTTAAATCTGTTTAATATCAAATATTTTAAAATAATATTATATTTTTTCACTAAATTAAATATTTTTAAATAATACAGTGGTACCTCGACATACGATCGCCCCAACATACGAGTTTTCATAATTATTTATAGATGTGTTTCTATTATACAACATGAAAATATTGTTATATTATATGCAAAATGAGGTTTTTAGTTCAAATTTCCATAAGTATTACTTTATAATCATACGCCGCAGTCCTTTATAATATATTATAAGTTACTTTAAGTATTAGTTACGAACGGAAAGATAGTCCAGGGTAGCCTAGTGGACATGGCACCTGCCCGGTAAGCAGAAGGTTGTGGGTTCGATTCCCGCCCCTGGACACTTTTATTTTTCCGTTCGCCATTACTCTTCGTATTTTCACCCTTTCATACGTCATCCAATTATATATAGACCATCACTCTTCATATTTTCACCCTTTCATACGTCATCCAAAAAAGTTAGAAATAGTAGATATTTCTCTTTAAAATAAATATTGATTTATCACAGAAAAGAAACTCATGCGGTGCAGCTTTAAGTATTACTTTATAATCATACGCCGCAGTCCTTTATAATATATTATAATATACCATATATATGTTCATGATTTTCTAAAATGTAGTTAAACCTGTTTATGGCGCCCCCTCTAAATAGCGCCCGATTTTAAATACGTAGTACGATGCGATTTACATTAAAAGTGACCAGTCTATAGCACCCCCTGTCTATAGCACCCTATTTTGGTGAGTGCCAAGAGGAAGCACTATAGACAGGTTTAACTGTAGATATAAAGCGTTACGTATATGCATATATCGAGAATTAAATAAGAGTGACAGAGAGTCACTAAAATTTCGGGAACTAAATAAAAATTTTAATAAGATGTTGCCATATATTTTATAAATATTTTAATTATAATAAACATGATTTCAAAACTTTGATATTAAACTTTGAAATATCGTTTTGAAAGAAAAAAATATGTCATTATATCTTAAAATATTCGCCATATCAACAAATTTTTAAATTTTACCATAATGCCTTAGCGCGCCATCTGTTATGAAAAATCGAAACTATTATAGATGCGTATGATTCTTTTGAAAATAGACAGTAGGTATTGTTTTGTTGGGCCATTTTTTTCACCAAACGAACCCAACAATGATGTAAACATATTACATCATATATGTACAGTGTCTTGCCGAAGTGTTTGCTGTCCAGATGGAGGACCTGGACAAGCTCTGGGCTTCTTGTATTCCGAGGCCCGCTGCAGTAAGAAGCACATAATGTACATATGTACTTATATGTACATAATTCAATCCCTTCTCATATATAATAGTGAAAGGTAAAATCCAGCAAGATTTTCTTTTTATTACCACATTGAAATTTGAATAAATAGAGTTGACGCGAAAATAGGTACTTTTTTGGACCAACCGAACAGTGGCAACACGGCCGGCTGCCGGCCCCCGCGCATGCGCGAGCAAGAACAAAAGAATTAGCCCTAAAAGTTCCGGTAAACAAAGGCTGCTTTCGAGCTAACGTTTGGTTTTGACGGGCCAGAAAAGGAACTATCCCTCATAAATTTTAATAATTGTTTTTGAATAACATTTGTATTGACATTAATTTGTGTGATTTTTTTAAATAAATATTTCTTTCAATAAGTATTAATTATTCATCACTGTTTACTAACTTAGGCCTCGTCATCCAACGTTGTGACACTCCTACTGATCCCTGCAACAAAGGTATTGATTTACCAATTTATAATTTTCAAATCAGTTTCCAGCATTACTGTAAAGCTAGGAACGTTTAGTTCAGGTTAAGCCATCGGGACCTTGTATTGTCTTTCTTTTTTTTTCAAATCTAAGACAAAGACAACACTTTGGCGCAGTCGACAGGATAAAGATTGAAGAATTACTGATTACACAAAGGTGCAACTGTGAACCAGTGATTACTTCTCAGGATGGCTGACCAACCAGTTAGTAGTGCTGAACTGAAAAAGCTTAGGACGCCAGTGCGTGCAATGTTCACCAAGGCGTTCAATGAGCTCGAAACAGAGATCAAGAAGAAGGAAGTCAAGAAAGCAGATGTAGAGAAAATCCTCCGCCGACTCCAGACCCACCATGAAAAGCTTTTAATATTGAACATGAGGATGGAAGAAGCTCTGCTACGAGAATCAGCGTCTGAAGATATTTTCACTGCTGAGTACGAATCCGTTTGTGAGTACGAAGATAATTTCAGTAACATTATGACTGATTACGAGGCTCTTGCGGAAGAGGATGACGTTAGTACTAGTACAATCAGCGGCACAGCAGCAATGAACTATCGACTACCGAAGCTGGAGTTCAAGAAGTTTGGGGGAGAACCAAGAGAATGGATTACATTCTGGAGTCAGTTCAGCACGATTGACCGGGATCCACAGATGCCTCCAGAAATTATGTTTCAGTATCTCTTTCAAGCCACTGCCGAGAACTCCGAGGCAAGAGAAGCAGTCGAAAGTTTTACAC